GTCAGTGCTAAGACAATGGAGCCACGTGGTGTCCCTTATCACGCGGCCCTGTGTTGGGTTGTGTTTCTGTTCGTTTTTCTTGCAAAGGGATCAATTTTGTTGCCAAACGTGAAAGAGTTTTAGTAAGTTGGTCTGTAATACCTGTTATTGTCGCTGTTGATGTTATTTCATGAACTACCTAACCAAATTCCAAACTATAAGAAAATATAAATTGTTATTCATGTTATTCCTTGGAGATACTATAGTATTTTATGAATCTGGGATGTTTAATTCAATTACTTTTACAAATGGAACGGAGAGAAATAATAGTTTTGGACTTGGCCATTGGACAGCTTGTGATGTTTCTGTTGGGGAAGTGTGTAAACTACGCATATGTACTGTGTAAACTGCGCATATGTACTTGGTCTTTTGGCACCAGGAGATTCATTGTAACCTGTAACTAATGCCATAGGGTTATCGTGAGGAATCACTGATAAAGTACGTAAATGTGGTTGAAGGATTATAACCAACTACAATGCTAGTGTTGGGAATTTACAAGGGGCTGTTGCCTTTTCTTGAGCCTAAACACCAAAGGGGCTAAAATTTCGATGTAGTTTAGGATCAATTGAATGTAATTAGTGATATAAACGAGCCAATCAAGAGATTTAAGCCTGGATGCATTTCCAGCAGACCAAACGACGATTTTCATTTGATAATCGGAAAATTGGCATCGCTTCTAACGAAGGAAAATAAGATCACATAAAAATTAATAAAAAAGGGATCAGGTATTTTTTACTGTACGAGCACAAGGGCAAGGAAAACGGTTACGACATTAACATATAAAATTACATAAGACGAACCATAGCCTGTTATAGCTTAACGTACATGCACACAGCGTATATTAGTGAGCGTTTATTCCCTACAGGACTACAGACACTCTTCAGAAAACGGGAGTGGATTTCGGATCCATCTGGAAGCATAATACACTATGGGATGTAATGGGGGTCTGTGGAAAGCACGAGTTTGGGGAAAAGACGTGACTATTCTGTATTCGAAGTGGGGTCATTATTCCCCCCTCTCTACCTTTTATTTTCTTCTTTTTATATATATAGAATAACCCTAACCCAATCTAAGAGGAATTAAAGACCCTAACCCAGTGAATGATTGGTTCTCGTGTACAACTTCAACCTTTTCATGTGAGAGAAGGTAGAATTTCTTTCTTTTTTTCATTCTTTTTCATATCTCTTATGGATGAAGTTCGCTAGTTTGACAGCTATGGATTTGCCAAACACTAATGACCTGGTGGTTTAAAGGATTCAATCGTTTGATAGATAATCAGTTTTTAAGATAATATTTGGACAATCTTTCTATTTCCATGTTCTTATATATTTACTGTTTAGTGTATAATGTTTCTTGTTATTTATTTTCTAAATGGTATAAAGAGATTATTCAATCTTTTGATGTTGTAATTTACTGATTTTACTTATTGATAATGTCGACGTTGCTGAGGCGTGCTCAAGGAAATGCCCATTGTCTCCTCAAGAATTTAACTCATTCTTTGCCATTATTGTGTTAAAGTCATCGCAGTCTGAGTCAAGGCTTCATGGAAAGTTTTTGCTTTTTAATTTATTCATTTTTTTTTTTTTTATCGCTTCTTAATCCTGATGTCACGGTACCCCCCCCACCCTTTGCCCCCTCCCCTATACCGCCTCCCCACCTCCCCCCTCCCCCACACACACAACCCTCTCTCCCTGACACCTATGACATAACCCGATGGAGAAAATATTTACTGAGCTTTTTTCTTTTTTCTTTTCACTTCTGGGCATTTCTGGAGCCTCCGTGTGGAGAACTTTCTGTTTTTTTGGATAAATAATTGCTGAAGGTCTTGCATTTTTAACCGAAAGGATAATAAAATATCACTCGTACGTCGCTTTTTATTTACCCTGAAACGCTCTTTTTAAGCGAGTTTTATATACTATATATAATATATATATATATATATATATATATATATATATATATATATATATATAAACACAATCATATACGTATATTATATATATATATATATATATATATATATATATATACATACATATATGTATATATATTTATATATATATGTATATATATATATGTATATATAGATATATATATATATATATATACCATGTGTGCATAAAAGTATAAATGAATATATGTATATACATATATATATATACATACTATATATATATATATATAGTATATATATATGCACACACACACACACACACACACACACACACACACACACATATATAATATATATATATATATATATATATATATATATAATATATATGTATATATATACATATGCATATATATACATATGCATATATATATATACAAATATATATAATATATTATATATACATACATACATACATGTATGTATTATGTACAGTATATACACACACACACACACACACACACAACACACACACACACACACACACACATATATATATATATATATATATATATATATATATATATATATATATGTATGTATGTATGTATACATATATATATATATATATATATATATATATATATATATATATATATGTGTGTGTGTGTGTGTGTGTGTGTGTGTGTATGTGTGTGTAATACATTCATATATATATATATATATATATATATTATATATATATATATATATATATATATATATATATATATACATATATATATATATATATATATATATATATATATATATATATAGCACATATATGTGTGTGTGTGTGTGTTTACATATACGTTCGTGTATATGTGTGTGTGTTTGTGTGTATATATTTATAGATATATGTATATTTGTTTATATCTGTGCTTGCATGTGTGTGTGTGCGTATATGATATTCATGTACTTAAAGGAATAATAGAAAACAATATAATACAGTGAAAATGTATTTTGTAAACATTCTATATACACAAAGAATGAAAATGAAGTAACAACATTGCAATCTCCTAACTTTAGTGTGTCATCACGTTTTGAACATGATCGTGTCTTTGATTGCTAATTCTCATCATCTAAAAGACATCCTCTCTTTTGCAAAGAATTGTCGAAGTCTACACAGAAACAGTAATCCATTGGGAAGGTGATTTACATGCAGGATTTACACAAAAGAATAGTTCTACGTGGTATAACAACACTAACAACTTGTCCTTCACCCGGGCCTGCTGGGCTTGGAGACTTCATACCGAGAACTCCAGGGATACATACTGACTATCGAATATATGTGTATATATATATATATGTATGTAAAAGCATACATATATACAGTATATGAATATGAATACATACATACATACATACATATATACATATATGTAAATATATATACATATATATATGTATGTATATGTATATGTATATATAGCTCACTGTGTGGATATACATATATATACATATATACATATATATATATATTATATATTCATATTTATATACTTCTTTCTAATTTTCTTGAACTTTTTTTCTGTATCATCAGCTTTTTTCCCTTCCCTACACAAGGAGGCACCATTTCCCGAGAACCAGCTCTGGAACAGTGGCATAAAACAGAACGTGATATCAACTCTACTTCTCACTATAGTTGCAACAAAGTAATACGAGAATGTAATCTACGAGAGATCGAAGCCTCTAGAATGAGGTACGTCAACTACGAATCTACATCAGGCTTGGTGTGCGGGAAAGTCGGTTCCTCGTACCCAAAAGAGTCATAAAGGCCATAACAATGATCATTCATGAACCAGCCGCCTCAGAGGAAAACAGGAGACGATCAGGTTCCACACATACAGCTTATAAAAAAGGGGACGGACGCTCGCGAAACAGCTCTTCACAAATAACAACTACTTGACACATTGACATAGACTAGCACATTTAGATTAACCCAAAACAGATCTTCGTTGAACAATACATATTTTTTTGAGAAATAAATACAATATATAGATCCGGTGGACGTTAAAAGATTTTGGTTTCGAATCGCTGTCTCAAAACATTGCTATCAAGGGGTCATTTTCGTCGATGGTCAAAGCCGAGACGCTGTATTCGCTCGGTTCCGCCTCCAAGTCTTCCAGGACTTCTTGGATGTTCTTTGGTTGGCGATGCTTGTGATGTTTCCCCGTCTCGTTGGCGTCGTCGTGAGGCAAGCGAGCGTCCTCCTCCTCCTCCTCCTCCGGTCTTTCCGCCTCCGCGTGTTCCGAGTCTGCGCCGGTGTCTGTGCCGTTGGAAGCCGCGACCACCCGCTGCACGTGCTCCGAGGCGAAGCCCGGGCCGAAGTAGCTCTCGTCGTCTAACGTCGTCGTTTCCCCTTCGTCGGACCTGCGGACGGCAAACTCAGAGAAGTCTCTAAAATTCGAGAAGAAGTCGTCGACGTAGTTATTCGTCGGCGGAGCATTGTGGGAGTTCGGGAACACGGCGTAGCCATCGTCGAGGAAGTGGTCGTAGCCGTGGCCGTGGCTGTTCGGGTCGTCGGGGTCGAAATAGGTGCCGCCGCGGAGGACCTCGAAGTTGCCCGAGCCCAGGAGCGTGTTGTCGAGCGGGCCGTACTCCTGCTCGCGGTGGAGGGGGCGCCGGTTGGTCGGGAAGGTGAACTCGGGCTTGTGGAGGGCCTCCCGCGCCCCCGGCCCGTAGAAGGTTTCGTGGAAGTCCCTGAATCCCGAGGGCTCCTCCCTCTGCCGGGGGTGCTCCCTGAAGCCGGGGCCGTGCGAGTTGAAGCGGCCTCCCCTGGGGCCCGGAGTGCGAGGCGGCAGCGGCGGCGACGGGAAGAAGGGCTGGTGGTGTGAGGGGAGCGAGTGGGGGTGGATGGTGGGGATGAAGCGCTGGTCGTCGGTGTGGGCGTCCTCGAGGGGCGCCTCGACTCTCCTGCTAGCGCCCCCTCTGCTCGGCGGGAACTGGTGGGCGGGAGAGAAGCTGCGGTCGCCGAGGCTCGCGGGAGTGTTCTCCGGAGTGATCCTCTCGGAGTGGAATTCGG